AACCTGAAACCTGCAAACAATACATGAAATTTGAACATTTTTAAGTACAGGACTAAATAAATAAATTAAAATTTCTAAAATATATAAAGTAGGTATATCATTCTGGTTTCTATATGTGCTTTATTTTAATGGAAAATTGAAAACGAAACTCTACGTAAAACATTTTTAAATGTGAGTTGAAATTAACTGCGTTTTGCCGATCGCGATAACTTGAGCTCAACTTATTACTCGCACTTTGAAATGAAATAAATTTAATTCGTACGGGACGCTAATGAAAATAATTTGCTTTCCTTTTTATCATGAACTTCTACAAAAGTTAATTTAAGTATGAAACTTTCGCATACAATCAATAGTAAAGATTTGAACAACAAGAATAAAGTCTATAACATTAATACAAAGTCATACATAAACAATTGAAACAAACTTGCCCTATAGTCTATACTTTAGGATTTTTCATACTAAATCAATTCTTATAAATGTTTACGTTTAAAAATTGAAAAATAATTTGTCAGCATGTGAAATGATTTTCCAAGCTTTCTTACATGTAATTTTTATATTTCCCCTTCTTCACTCCTGGCCAACAGCCATATTTTGAGATCAGTGAGATGACCACCCATACACCCATGAACCGCGCCCGCGATAATTGATGAACTTTAGACTTCGCTAGTGCGTTCCTTTCCCCGGGTGTAAATAGCCGGGGGAATTAGTACCCTCGCCCCGGGCTTACGCCCGGAACGGCGCTCCGCGGCTCGGAGATTATACTAACATCGTTAAATAATTGAGAACAATTAGTTCCTTACAAAACATTTTCCCAATCGTTTCTCGTTTAGTTTTTCCTCAAAGTCTCTTTACGTTTCACTCACATTTTGCCGAATACAAAAGCAAGTTGCCTACGGTATCGGGATAAAATGATCAGCCGACTACCGGCCGACTTCGGATGTTTTGACCTCCGCTCCCGTCTAGAGCCCCCCTGGTTACACAAAATACATTGAACGTACCTGGCACAATCTCGACCCTCAATCCTCCAATATTCACACCCCTCCCCCCTGGTTACACAAAATACATTGAACGTACCTGGCACAATCTCGACCCTCAATCCTCCAATATTCCCAGATTGAACAGCAACGCTCAATGTTTCAACAATATATTGTGTCATTATTCCTTGAACGGAAATAACGATGTCAGCCAACACACTGCCTTGTCTGAAAAAGAAACATAATATATGAACCATGGAATAAATTTAGACTAATACATACTACGTCGAAGAGGTTTGAAAAGGGCGCGGAAAAGTCACAATTACGTTGGAACAAAAATGTTTCAAAACGTCACTTTGCCGTAACAATTTGAACGGCACGCTTTCTCAAAGAAGCGAGTTGAAAACCGGTTTTTATCACTTTTCAGGCATTTTTAGAAACATTTAAACATTCTGTGGTGTCCTTTGGGATGAAACGACATGAAAAGATCCGAGAATTTTAAATGAATTTTACCTGAATTTTGAAATATCGATTGACATCACGGAACCTTCGTTAGCGAGCAGAGTTTTTATCTAAAAGCAAGAAATTATAAGCTAGAAGCTAAGGTATTCATATAAAACCGCCCATACCAAGAAAGTAGAATTAGGATATTTAGCTGACCTTCCACTTTGTGCAAGGCATTTGATATTCAAATTGCACTGTTTACATGATGGAAGGTGGGATAATTTTCATGTATTGAAATAAGTCACTACGCTAAACGAAAGCTCAAATGCTGATTAACAAAACTCAAATGTTGTAGAAAAGATCTTGTAGTTGAAAAAGATTAGTAGTTCTGCTTGAAAATAAATACAAAATTTGCGAACTTCACGTGTCTCTATTTTCCTCATTTACAACAATTCGCAACCAGTCTGTGCAATATTACTCATTCTATAGCCTGCGAACAGGCTCTCAAGGTGAAATGAGAGCCTGCATCGATGGCCAATGAATTTGAATATCTGCGTCTCAAATCGTGACGCGAAATTCTCATTGGTCTGATGCGATAATTTATATGTTTCCGCTGAGCTTTATATATGTCAACTGCTGAAGCACTATGCATAAAAAACACATTAACTGATCAAATTGGTCTTGGCCATCTTATCTCAAAGCACGAAATGTTCTGTTTTGAGAAAACAGTATTTAAAACATTTAAACTTTTGCTTGAATATCTTATATTTCGAAAAACAGTATAAACTGTACGGTCTAAATTTAGTTTACGCGGTCTAAATTTGGTTTGCACGAAAGTTGTAAACAACACCATATAAGGATAGACATTCCATATTTGGAAAAACGAACGTTACGGGGGAGATATTCAAAATTGTATATCATCAGTGCAGGCTCTCAATTCACCTTGAGAGCCTGCTCGTAGGCTAGTTAATAGTGGATGCGCGAGGGTGCTTGAAATAGCGTACGTGCAGTATACTTGATTAAACGGAACTACGTAGTCGTAGATATGCCAAGTCATCGCTGAGTCAGACTATGACGTATGTTAATTTCTAACTGGCTGTATATATAGCACAATGTCAATGATATAGAGTATTCTAATATTAATAATACACCTTGTAATTGGGCAGCGGGCAACCGAACGATTTGGACGTCCGTTATACAGACTTCTCTCCACTTTGACTTTGACCTTTTGCTATATATTATATACTAGGCCCGGTTTAGACAGTGAACTCTTCATGCGATATCTAATCAAATTAGGTAGGGGGCAAGTTTGGCAAGTGATTTAGATGTCAGACTTAATTGTACCGTGTTTGTGTGATGTTACTCTGAGTGTATATCCACACCGGGCAGGCTTGAAAAATATGCCTGGCCACGGCGGGATTCGAACCTACGACCTTTTGAATACTAGCCCAATGCTCTTCCAACTGAGCTACGCGGTCAGGACGGTTCGAGTAAGCGATATTTCGGAACTGAGTCTAGTTCCTTCGATATCAGTGTAATCTAATAATCATGAAATCTGCTGTGTGCCTACACAGCAGATTTCATGATTATTAGATTACACTGATATCGAAGGAACTAGACTCAGTTCCGAAATATCGCATACTCGAACCGTCCTGACCGCGTAGCTCAGTTGGAAGAGCATTGG